AGGGCAGGGGGTGGAGCAGGGGCGGAGCCAGTTTTTAGGCACTCGGTCTCTAGAAGGTTTGCCATCACTGACCTAGGGAAAGCCTCATCCTTGATCTAATTGATAAAAATCTGATTTGGATGTTTTATATATTTAGCTGTGAATTCTACATCTACTTACCTAAGAGTGAACCTCACTGAATATACCTATGTACAAAATTATTCTCAGTCTTCTATTTGTGTACAAATTTAAGATTCACCATTGTAAAATGGCCAACAATACTTCAGTTTTGGAGAGTTCCGTTTAGTCTGAAGCCTGGGGTATACTTAGGAACAGGAACATCTGTTTTCTTGTGGCAGCATTTGTATCTAGGAAATAGGAAAGGGCCTGGTGTGGCTCATGAGAGTGTCTAGTACCTACAGAAATCTTAGGGCAAAGTATTGGGCCCATTAGCAACTCCAGAAGCCACATTTGACTACTGTACTGTTCGTCAATTCTAATCTATCCCAAGCTTTTCATCTCTGTTAGGATGGCATCTTGAGCCTAGCTAGTACAGGTACTGGTTTATGAATGGAAAATAGTATAATCCACTGCCAACCTAACAAAGACAGAAGAAACAGAATAAATCGTGGATTTCCAAAGGAAGCTTAGTGCAGGTGCATATGGGGAAGAACAATACAATTTTCTTAGGTTAAGCTTTTGTGTTGTATCTCATAGGATAAATGACTGCTCATAAAAGAAAAATGGGGTTATGATTCAGTGAAAAATATAAATTGAATCTACCCTGAAATTTAATGTTGCCATCTCCAAGTGAAAGGATTTTTGCCTGAAATCTTGATCAATCAAGAGGGACAACACTTCTCTCATTTATCAGTTTCTAGCTGCATTGGGACTGTAACACTCAGAATTCCCAAATGGCTGGGTTCTGGTTTAAGTCCAAACATAGTAAATCCAAATATAGCTGAAGGGCATCAGATTAGGAAAGGCTGATTAAAAGCTATCTCATCGTAGACATTTAAAATTATCAGCTCATATTTCTGTCACTTATTTTAAAGAGCAGATACGTTATAGTAATTGATATGAATTATTACTGTTCAAACATAGTTATTGTTTCTTGTTCCAGAAAATTGCAAATTCAGATAATTTCTTGTTTAGAAAAAAAATAGATCACACAGCTAAGATATTATTGCAGAAGAGCAATAAATAGCTAAAACATTTCTATTTATATACAGTCGCATATACAGTCTATGGTTTACATTGGATGCTCCAAAATGATGATTTATAAGTTAATTTCAATCTTTTTCAAAGTTGGATTCATTATGCCTTTCCACTATCAGAAGAAATGTTTTATTCCACTTAAGCGATGCATGAAAAAAAATGAATTTAAACTTAGAGCTATTTTGCTTATGGAAACATTTATGGAAATATAACTTCTGTAGCTGTGATATTTTATATCACTGCATAAACACTTCCATTATCACATTGTGCAGGCATTCATGGACCAGCATAAAGAGTTGGTTTTCATTTCATTTATCATTCTTTGGATCCAAATAGAGTCCTTAAACACAAATACATTACTGTAGACTTTATTTCAGTCTTGAAATAAAATCTGACATGTCTTGTACCAACAAGGCATTGTAGATGTACATAAGCACTAATCACTATGCAAATTTTTAGATCTGAAAAAGCAGAGGATTATTAAGAGTTTTTGCTTGATATACTTTATTGGAGAAACTCCTAAGCAATGAAGTGATCATAGAAACAAAACTGTTGTAACATTTGCTTTTGCTACCACTACACTGCAAATTAAATTCAGAGTACTATCTGGAGAACAGATACTATAAATGTATTTTGCCCTTCAGAGATTTTTTGCAATTGCTATAGCCTAGAACAGTGGTGGCGAACCTATGGCATGGGTGCCAGAGGAGGCACTCAGAGCCCTCTCTGTGGGCATGCATGCCATTGCCCCAGTCCTAGGCCTTCTGCTGGGTTTTATAAAACCTTTGCACTTTAGGCCTCCACCACCATGTACAAAAAGAAAAGGTTCAACCAATCAGTCAATTTCAACTTCTCGCAGGAAAAAAAAAATCTTGCAAAGTTGGAATTGATTGATTGAACTTTTTAGTCCCACCCAGTCTGCTGTTACCACCGCAGCCATGCCCACCCAATGGGCCACACCCACCCGGCACCCGATGATTACAGGATGATAGGTTGTGATTGGTGGATGTTAAAAATATCCAGATGTAATTTGGAAATAGGAGACATGAATTATTGTCCTTTTTCATCATGATCAGAGCAGACCCTAATTATTTTGGAGATCCTGGGTACCTATTTATTTTATCTATTTGAGATGGTCCATCTGATAAATCCTCTGGGTTTCTTGGAGAAATCCTGTTGGAATTTTCTAAAGGCTGTGGTGGTCTGTGTTTCTGGGACTTAGTTATAGTCTCAAGCATAGAGGTGGCTCTCACCTTAGTCATGATTGCCACTGAGCAGCCTAACAAGCTCCAAGCACTTCCTCAGTTTACTGAGGAACTTCAGGAAATGAAGTTGAGAGGACATATCTGGGGCATAGCTGTCAAAATAAAGGGAAAGGGAGACGTGAACCTGACTGAACATGGATTAGGGCTGAGGTTCAAGCTTATCTGAGGCAGTAAGACTGAGGAAAGGCATTGTTTCTCTGTTTTTATTACATTCATAGAATGTCATCTAGTGAGTCAGATTGAAGCTTGAGTCCTGAAGAAATAGAGTTCTCTGGCATATCAGCCCTGCTACTTGTAGCTTAGATCCTGGTCCTTTCTGACTCATGAAAGCTTTCAGAGAGTTAACAGGAAGCTGGGTTCAAACCGTGCAAATGTTTCTTTCCTTGAATGGATGTTTCTGCATGTCTTGAAAGGTAACAATGTGACCTCTTTTCAAGAAGCCATTGTTCAACTGCCAAGTCTAAATAATCTTCAATTTTTGGAGACACAGTTAAGATACTGGTAGGTCTACAATAGCAGATAGGCCAAGACAATCCCATTTTGTCTGGATTTGATTTCAGGCCAATCATAAATGTCAGTCCTTCAAAAAAAGACCAGGTTCAAAATGGACACCACAAGGATTTCAGGCATGCCACTTCACTGATGTAGGATTGTTCATAGAATTAAAAAACCTGTTCAAAACCTTCACTATATCCCTTTTAAGAATAACAAGGTCAAGGCGGGACTGTTCTTTCTCACATTTGCATGTTCTTATGAAATCAGGATACAAGGCAAACTTCCTAGTCCTGTTTATCTATTAGTGGCATTCATGGTATTGTTCTGAACCAACTATGAGTGTTGGAACTAGGAATGACTTTTTCTATGTGTTTAAGTGGGTGGACCAGTCAGAGGTAAGAAAGAGTTTGAACCATAAGAAACTCCACTGAAGGTTGCGACAAGACTTGATGCTTTCCCTTCCCCATATTAGCAACTATGTGATATTATTGAGTGAAATCATCAATCAGCATGGAGTCAGGTATCATCATGCTGATAACATTCAGCTTTACTGCTAAACTGTTGATCAAATAGGAGATGTAGCCAAGGCAATGTCCAAGTCACTGAAAGCTGTTGGTATCTGGATTGGGAGAACAGGTTTATGTCCAATTCATAGAGAGAATTGGTTTATAATCTTGGGATCTTCCTGAGTCCTCAGCTCCTGTTCAAAAATTTCTTAACTGTAGCTAGGAGCAATTTACAAAGATGCAATTAATGACTTTTAGAGAAGTGGAAGTCCCTCATTGTCTCTCATGCCTTGGTCATCTCTTATGCATAAACTACCCAAAAGCTTCAGATTGTCCAGACTCATCCCAAAAGCATTTCTTTGAGAGCTGTACTGATTGCCAGTTGCACTCAAGTGCAATTCAAAATGCTGGTTTTCACCTTCAAAACCCTTCATGGATCAGAACCTCAGAATCTTCATGATTGCTCACTGTCAGTGGTTTCTGCCCAACTGTAAGATCCAAAACAAGATTCCCTCTGGGTCCTTTCTCCAAGAATGCATCTATGTCACTGATTCTGATTCACATTCTAGTAAAACTATGCATTATAAATTAAACAAAACTTTAAATTCATAAATGTGATCTGCAGAAACCACAGAGAAGGGCTTTCTCAGTTCCTACACGCTCCCCTTCCGCCAAATCTGGAATAGCTTTGCCCTGATGATCAGCTTGATCTCTGCCTGGCTGAATTCTGAAAAACTATAAAGATGATTTCCTGTCATGTCTGTGATGTTTGATTTGCTGTCTTTGATCTATTTTTTGGTAGAAATGTTGCAAGGAGTTGGTTGTTAGAAAGGTCTGGGATATTTTAATGTTTGTGTGTTATGTTTTTAATCTGGTTATTAGGTATATGTGCCAGTCAGTCACTTATGATTGGAATAGCATATGAGTCCAATAAATAAGTAAGCAAGTTAACAAATAACTTAGGTTACATAAACATTGGTTCATACACGAAAATTTTTAAATTTACAATCAAAATTCTAATGACTTTTGACTAAATGGAGAATGAAAATGTGAAAATTAATGAAAAAGAAAAATATGGAGTCTATACCACGTGGCAAGAAACCCTTTTTTTTTCAATTATTTCTGATAGTTTTAACATAAACATATAGTACTACCAGCAGCCAACCAACCAAGCTAAAAGAAAGAATTCTATTTGTATTAGACTCCTTTACACTAGTATTTTGACGCTCAAAGAAAATTATCACATCGCTATTAAAAAGTATCTGAAATTTGTTTAGAGAAAACCATCAAGTCATATGATATATACCAGCATCTGTCCTCCTAAGGATTAGAAGGATGAGGTAGGAACAAATGTTCACATAAGTCTTTACAAAGCCAATCTAACACTCTATCCTGTACATACTCAGAACTGCTGTTCTGTTCCAGACATCATACAACCACATCAAAAGCAGGTGTTTTTTTTTGTTTGTTTGCAAAAAGGGAATAAAAATTTATATTGAAAAGCCACAGCTCTTAACAAGCAGTGCATTATTTATTTTATTAATTTGCTCTTTTTACATTACGGGAAACATTAATCTATTTACATTTTGTGTGTCCACATATCAGATAAGTAGATAATCCTATGAAAAACTAATTCAAAGTGCCATATAATGCTCTCCAGCCTTCCATCTAGAGTTTTTAAAACGGTAGCAGTTTTGCAAAAAAAGGAAAAAACAAAAACGGATTATCCTGACTAGGAATACAGCTAGAATGCATCTATGTCACTGATTCTGATTCACATTCTAGTAAAACTATGCATTATAAATTAAAAAAACAAACTTTAAATTCATAAATATAAAATACAAATTAAAGTGATAGTGCATAACAAAACATTAAGGGGACACCCAATAAATAAATGGAAATATATTATAAATAAGATACTAGCATTTACTTTTTTATATTAAAACATTTAATCTTTCTTTATCTCTCATTACAAAAGAACAACAGTGCATGCTTATGTGTGTCTACTTAGAAGTAAAGCACAGATTAAATGAGATTATTCCCAGATTAATTACAGTTCACATTTGTATCCTAACAGTCTTCTCCAATTTGGCACAATTGAGATGTGTTCGCCTAGTGTGCTTGGAATTACTAAAAGATTTAGAAGAACTCCAAACTATCTGAATGCACCAGCTTGGGTAAGAGTATTAAACCATACTGAGTGGAAATAAACTCTGTTTTATTCAGTGACACTTACATCTAAGTAGACCTGCATTGTATTGCACTGTTAAAGGTATTTTATGGAAAGATCTGCAAAAATATATATAATAAATATTTTAAAACTTTTGATTTAAGAGGTCAACCTCTTTTTTTTAATATCCCCTAATCCCAATTGTACTTTAAAACACTGATTGCAGCTTTTTTGCAGAGATTCAGAAATTCGAATAAAATAAACTCTACAAAATCAATTGAAATAATAAAAGACACAATTTAGCCAATTAAAGTTTCTAATTCCCACCAATTTCAGTTGAAGAAATCTGAGCATGATAAGATTCCCTGCAAACAAATTATTTGAAAATGTTTTTCTTTTTGCTTTGTATAGATAAAAAGGTCCGCAACAGGGAATCAGAGTAAAAGCAGCAGCCTGATTTATGGACCTGCAGTGCCAAAAAGTAATCTGGGTGGCACTATTGTCCATTGCAGGACTGTAGTTTCTTAAATCCTTCTGTTGCCTGCAGATGTTCAACATCTTCATATCTTCTGCATTGTTCTAGGAATTTATTAGAAGATATAATTGTTATGTCTACGTCAAACCCAGATGAATAATGAGGTATCATGTTAACAAATTTCTTTAAGTCATGATGTGTAAATACATCTTTCCTAAAATATAAAATTAAGTTGTGATCCTCACCACTTTTTCCCCAGGGGTAATCTAAATAAAACAATTGGCTACTTTGTAGTACATCGTTGTCTGTAATCATATGGTATATAACATTGCTAGATATATTACCTTAACACATTTTTTTTCAGCAGCATTTCAGCTAGATTTTAAACTTTTTTTTCATGGGATTCAAATACCACAGAAATAATATAGTTGTGAAAACAGATCGATATGACATGTTTTGCACATCTGTGTATGAAGAGTCCAATTTTTTTTAAAACACCATGTCTATATTTAAAGGTGGCTACTGATATTGACTGCAAATAATGTGCAAGCCTTCAAATATTAAAAAGAGGCTACAAAGTAAAGCAAAAACATTCTCAACACAATACAATTCAAATGTTGCAAGTCAGATTTTCAGTTTTGAGTTAACACTGGATTTTTATCCTTGCCTTTAAAAGTCTTAAAAATATGAAATTATTAGCCCTTTACTTGTAAAACACAGCAGTGATATTTTGTGCCCTGTTAATAAGTATATAGCTTGGATATATCAATGGCTTTGAGAGGTAGCAAATTTTCTAGTGATTTTACATTTTTTTAAAGATTTCCATACCTGTTACCTCTCCCAGATTCTTGAAAAAAAGAAAGAAAGGTAGAGCCTAAAAATGATACTGTATCATTACAACATGTTCTGGCATGATCTGTTGATATACGTATATTCTCAAAAAAAGGCACAAAAGAAAAAGCCAACTTTTGAATGGTAATTTCTATCACTGCGAGATTGAACGGTGTAATTTTACTATCCAACCAGTTAAGAGTTTCATATTTGAAAAGTTTTGACCTTAACATAATTAAAAGCCAGCTTTGATAATACAGATTACAAGACAGTCATTCAGTGTATTGCATTAGCACTAATTCACTTCTTTAAAATTCTTTCTTGATCTGTCAGTAAAGTATTATATTCCGTACTTGACATGGATGCTGATATGGGTAGTTAAATATTAAAATAAGAAGTGACCCACAATTCTTTGCTCATGTGACGTGGGAGGATACAACTAAAAAATGATATATAGTCCAGATCTATAATCTGTTGAGTGTTTTAGTTTCATCTATGGTTTTGGCAACAGAATGTAGACCAAACCTTGCAACTGAACCCAACACCTCCTTTAGGACATGAACTGTTAATTCTCTAATTATTTAAACATGCACAAGTGCATGTTAGATGCTTTCCTTAAAATTGTGGTGCTTGTGAAATCATCATACTTTCTGTTTGGTCAGATTGTATTCTACAGTCCTATACCAGGACTGCTTATTAGGGCTAAGCAGTGTTTCATATTTGGTTCCAAAAAGATTTTTTGTTTTAGCAACTCTGGAGAGAGAGACATAATCCTAGGAAAAGATATGGCTGCTTTAAAGATTCACAAACAAGTTCTATGTTTGTCCTTCCAAAGATGAAGCAACTTTTTTGAAATCATTTGTAAAACACTGCATAGCTCTGTTGCCTATCAGTCTTTTTCCCAAACAGTCTAGCATTAGGTGTAGACTACATGCTTTAAAACAGTTTTGTAAAGAAAGATATTCTCAATTTTAAAGAAAAAAAGGGGAATATGAAACACTTGAGATCAATGTCATGAGTAGTATACAACATGTATTTCATTTACAGCATTTTAGAAACAAACAACTAGTTGGAGATGTGCAAAATCTGAAAGCTCATCAAAGTCAGGAAATCAACAAATGATTTTCCCTTTTAAAATGCACACATTGTAATAGGAAATGACAATATAGTACAAGGTTAAAAATTCTTACTAATTGATTTGATGAAATATTCCTTTAATCCCAATTTTCAGTCATCTTTTAAATTCATCTAAGCTGTCTTGTTATTGCCTTAAATATTACTACCTTGGAAGATAGATTTTACAGTCTTCTCCTGATCAAAAAAATTCTAAGTTGAGTTTGAGGAAATAAAGTGAGGCAGTTTGTGCAGCTGCTAGTCTTTTCATGGAATGGCAGACATTTCATCCCCATGACTCATTTGAACTTTTACTGCAATACACCTATTGCCCCATCTCCTTCTGGTATGACAGATGAAAAGGATTATCTTGAAAGATCAAAATCATATGTTTCTCTGTTTCTAAAAAATAAAATAAAAAAAAAAATAGTCATATAAAGAAGGGATTCTGAGCCCAAGCTCCATTCACTATCAATGTGGAGGACAACAGAATCCTAAAGGTATTATTACCCTGAAATACTGGATTTCCAAAATACCAAATAATGGAATATTGCTGTACACTAGATAACAGACTAGCTTTTAAGAACAAAGATAAATAAATCGGTGCATCTATCATACAGATCTCTGTGTATATGTGTGTGTGCGCGCATACATGTGTGTACATGAGACATAAAGGAAGAGAGGTGTTATTTATGGGTGTATGGGATTCTTTACAAGAGGCAAAGTGGGCAGCATCAGTACATATGGCAAAGCACTAGGTTGAGATGGGCAAACCTTTAGAAAGCAAGGGATGTTAGCAAAACCCTCTTGGAGAATTGACAGTTACACCACAGAAGTGTTAATTCATTGGGAGAGAAGAGAGAGATAAAAGGAAGAGGAGAGAAATACAAATACATATTGGTATCTCTGAGCATGGACCTAGGGCAAATTATACAAGAGATATTTCTTGCCATTAACAGTCCTCCTGGTTGGATCCCTTCATAGCCTGGTCTGGGCTTCGGGGATGTAAATCTCAATGCTTTCGGCGCTTTCAGTGGCTGAGTTCTGACGAACCGATGCAGCTCGTTTGGCAGCCATCAGCCGTTTCCGGGCCTCCTGACGCTGTGAGCTCTCCAAAGAGCGTTCCCGAATGAGTGGCACCTGACCTTTCGATGGCTTCTTTGGCACTGGAGGAGGGGCCCTTCTCTCCTGATCAAAGCAGAAGGTTAATGACATTATACAGCTTCTCGGGAAAAATTTAAAGAAAGGGCGGGTGGGGGAGACATACAAACTAGGACAAGTCAGTGGTTAGAAGATACTTGTTTACCTAAAGTTAACTCACTTTCTCTTCATTGAACTGCCATTGAAAGACTTAAAAAAAAACATAATCTTAAGGCAAAAAAGGATGGCATTGATAATAGCGCAAGTTCTCCATAGATATGTGGTGTCTGAGGCTCAAAAGGATGAAGCTCCCACCATTAACTATTGTATGTAGCTCTTGCTGGGCAATCTAAATTCCTCTTCTGGATATTCAGAATTAGAAAGGAGAGCACTTTTAGTATTGCTGCTTAATACAATGTCATAATTCTATAATATTAGAAAGTAAGATTGTAATTAAAATCATCTGCCATCTTATTAATAAAATTCTTGGACGTTCTTAATAAATTAACGCCACATAATAGAATAGTATATGGAAAAATTAAAGACAAAGATAATGAGCACTGTTCCCCTTGTATACAATATACATACACAAGACTAAATGGGCTTACAACATTCAAGACTTATGGATCGATTTCACACAGTCATATGAATTAGCAGCCTGAGGTTAGTTATCATAGCAAAATTTAAAAACAAAATAAAAAAAGAACATGTGGTTGGCGGTGACTGGCCATGGAACATTGCATACTTTGGGTGCAAGTGCTTCTTAAAAATATAGTATTAGAGTCAACAATCTACAAACTGAATTCAGAAGTGGGTGGGGAAAACTTAAACAAGGAATTCTGAGAATATACATTAGTAATTACTTTGGCATCCAAAGATATCGTAGTTAACAAAAAGGAAGACATCTGTATATATCCACATGATATATATCAATATATCATATACATATATAGAAAGACAGAGAATTGGGGGGGGGGATAGAAATGTGGGTATGTTACTTCTAGAATTTATATCTAGGATCCAAATAGGGCTACAGAGTAATCTGGATTTGAAGTGCAAAGGAGCACAGGAATCATACAATCTGTATCTAGACTTAAATGCATCTTTCTGGGATTGCATAGTGGCTATGGGAGCCCAGGAATGATGCATTTTCTTTAAGGAGTTGTCAACAGATATTGTATTAGTGCAGGATGCACTCCAGTTCACCCTTTCCCCTTTAAATTTGGATCCACGGGCCTAATCCAAAATATATTTCTCGTTTACACAGACTCTATTTTTTCCAAAAATTATATGGTATTCATCTTAATAATTTCCTAAATTGATTATTAATTGCATTATGCTCTATAAGTGTCATTATAATTTATTATTTTCTCATTGTTGATCAAAACAGTTCCTCATTGCTTGTGTCAATGGAAATGAATTTGTTTGAAACACTGCATTCGATCTGCATGCAAAGAATGAACTATGGCAGTTACCCAAGTTTAGGATGAAGGATAACAAGCACAAATATAAAAACAGATTCACAACTTTTTTCATATTTTGCTTAAATAGGGAAAACAAGCAATTTAATTTAAATATTAATGTAGCCACACTTGGTAACCATGATCCACAAAATATATTTTTTCACTACAGGTTGATGAAACATCCTGATTTTAAAGTCTGTTTAATTTACTCCTTTTGTTGAGTTTATCATTAAAGTATTGGTTTCTTATGCTAGCAAAAAAAAAACAAAAAAACCTTTGGCCTATTTAGGTATCATAACATCTAATAAAAATAGGATGCTTTAGAACAGAGGTCCCCAACCTTTTGAGTACCAGGGACTGGTTCCGTGAAGAGAAGTTTTTCTGCGGACCGGAGGGGGCGTGGTTTCATGTACTGCCTGCATTCTGCAGATGGGGCTTTGTTTGTTTGTGTGGACCGGTTTCTGGCTTGCTGCAGCCCGGTGCCATCCATGGACCAGGGATTGGGGACCCCTGCTTTAGAATCACCAAAAAATTTGCCGTAGAAATGTTATCTTGTGGGACTTCAAGAGGTAATCATTTATTAGTATTTTGGTTTGGAACAAGCAAAGAATGCAAATGCATGATTTTCTCAAAATGTTGTCTAAACCAAATGACTTCATGCCTTTTCCTATTGAACATTTATAGGTGAACAATTCTTTTACTTGACTTAATCATGCAGTATTTATTTTGGTGAGGGTCAATATTCAGAACTGGTTAAGGTTCCAGCATGGGGCTTAACAAATTCAAGAATGGTTTGACAAGCCCATTCTTTTTCCTGGACTTTCTTCATATTCCCATAACTAACAAAACAAAGATTCTGAGAATACTGACATTATGAAATGAAATCCCATTTTTTTAAAAAAAAGTATCTCTTGAAAAAAAATGAAATATCTACAGCACTTATTCCCATACTATTATCCTTTGCCTTAAAAGTAATACATGAAATAATCATAGGCAGAATAGGCCGGAGTATAAACAACGTTACGAACAGCTTGAAATGTTCTAAACAAACAGGTCCAAGGGAACACTTTGTCCCTCCTTTTCAATTTTCTTTAATCTGTGTGAAACTGAATTTGTGCTTTTCCTTATAAAGGCATGGGCCTTAGAAATATTTGATTAGATAAGCAGCAAATTTAAATTTTAAGATGGAGACTTAAGATGGAGATCTAGTGGAGTAATGGGAAATTTATTTCAATGAGTTAAAAAAAAGCCCTACATTTCCATAGCAAAGAGAAATTTGCTGTAGGGCTTTTTTTTTACTCATTGAAATAAATTTCCCATTACTCCACTAGATCTCCATCTTAAGTCTCCATCTTAAAATTTAAGGTTAGACATATTATTAAGGGCAACAGGGTTGGAATATATTAAACTACTTCATTTAAATAGTACATTTTTACATTTCATAGTAGGAGAAAATATTTCAGAAGACTTTCATTTTTCCCCTCCTAATGTCCTTTCCTTTCCTTCCCTCCCTTCCCAATTTTGGGCCCTGAAAAAGAAAAATGTTTGCATGCAAGTTTTCATATTTCTATTCTACCTGTCAATTTGTATATTTTTACTGATATTATTGATAGGATACATCTCAGCTTTAAAATGCTTATTGATCTCTAGGAAAACAATGACTACTTCTAATACTACTGCTGAAAACAATGTGTGAAAGCACACTAAAAATTACCTGACATCCAGGTAAGTCTAGGAAAGAAAACTGAGTCTTGATTTACCATCCTATTTAATGTTTTGAGTCTGGAAGACAATGGAGGTTAGGGGCATGCTATGGTCAGACACGACTTGGCGACTGAACAGCATCAACAACTTAGAGTTTTAGAGCTAAAACTTACTGAATGAAATAAAAGAGGTGAAACTACCTATGAGGTCTCCCTCAAAATAAAGTAATGACACAAGAGATTTTCCAGGTAATATTTATGATGGCTTGTTTGGCAGATACCATACATTATCCATGGGAATGGGGCTGGTTACCAAGTCAGTGCTGATAACACTATTCCCCTAGTTTACTTATACATTTCATAGTGCATTAGTAAACAAAACTCTTACACTAGGCAGCACTGTGTACTCTCTATATTATTTATTTTAATTGTAAGAATCAATATATGAGGCAATTTTTTCTAACAGTTGATTATCTAATATGATTATACGTTAAGTATAATAAGACAAATGAGCACATTCCCATTTTTCACATGTACAAGTTTGCCTTAAAAATATGCCTGAACATATTACAGATAATATTCCAGGTGATTCTTAAAGTAAACATTTTTCTTTTCTTTTACAATGGAATTAATCTGATATGAAATCCATTTCATGTTTTTAACATCAATGAAGTATTCAGAGGCCTATTTAATCTGTCCAGTATTTGTGCAGGGTGTTAAATGAAGCATACAAAATCGACAATGTTCTACCTTCTTGTCATGTAGGTCCAGCTGTTTCCAATTATTGGCCTTTAACTGATGAAGTTCATCAAATTTCATACTAATATTTTCTATGGACAACTGCAGCATATCCCAAAACCCTGCTAAATCTTGGGAGGCTGGTCTCGGATGTGCATTGGGATTCTGTGTGAGAGGAAAGAATAGGAAAAAACACAAAAAAATTCAAAGTCCTTGAAAAAGTCAGATGGATTTTTTTTTTTTTATTTCTAATGATGTTGGCTACCTTACTGCATCAGATTCATCTGGAATAACAATACAAGTTGATTAAATTAACTAAGCAATCATGCACTTAGGTAATGGGGGAGGCTTACAAATGTCATAGTTTCATCATAACCAGTATAGATAGCATATGCTATAAATTGGCTAAATGTTTGCGGAAAAGTTAGCTGAAACAATCTTACCTTGGAATGAATGATTTGGTAGCAATATGTTGAGGTAATGACTATAGATATTTTCTTCTGGACATGTTTCTGTTATTGCATATACAAGTAGTCCTTGACTTATGAACATTCAACAATGGCTTGAAACTACGATGGCCTCTGAAAAAGTGACCCATCTTTGGAGTTACAACCATTGCATCACCCATGTGATCATGTGATTGCAATTCAGGAGCTTGGTGACCAGCTTGCACTTATGATGGTTGCAGTATCTTGCAGTCATATGATCACAATTTGTAACCATCAAAGTGGCTTCCAATAAGCAAAGCCAAATGGGGAAGCCATTTGTTTAACAACTGCAGGATTCATTTGCTCTTGTGATGCGTTCAACAACCACAGTAAAAATGGTCATAAAATTGGGTCCAGTTACATGATGACTTGCTTAACAACCACATCATTTAACCACTGAAATTTCAGTCCCAATTGTGGTCATAAGTTGAGAACTACCTGTACCAGAAATAGAAGGCCAAATATTCTGGCACATTCCTGAGCTTTCAATAATTTCTCAAATAACATTTTTAAAATCCACTTTTTGGTATAGTTCCAATACATCTGTGTCCTAGACAGCATACTTTTGGTTAAATTTAATGTAAATTTCTGTTTTATGCTGTGATATAGTAGAATTGAAATAAAGACAAGCCTGCAAATGTTATAAACTCACTTTTCTATTTTATTTTTAGTGGGTTTTTTTAAAACTTCTTGGGAGAGGCAGTTGTAAGATTTTCTTCTCAAGTATCAAAATATTTTGGCAAGCCTTAGATTCTTGCATCTGAGTTATGGGAAGAGCAACAGTGGCGTTATACACTATTCTGCTTCAGACACTAACATATTTTTTTGGGATGCAAGTAATAAAACACCGAATATCATAATACATGTTACATACCAGATTTTCTTCACAAAGTTCTCTGAATTGGTAAAATTTCTGAGCCATGAGAAGCTGGGCACTACCAACTGCAGTTCGAATTTTACCTAAAACTTAAAAATAATCAGAGCGTAAGACACCATTGTGATGTATTAGTGTAAGCAAATATTGAAAATCTCTCCACTGTTACAAAGTCAGCTACAGATCTAATTCAGGAGTGAGCGAAGTGTAATCATATGCAACCTGTGGCCTCTGGACTAATTTCAAATGCTATCTGCAAGATATCCATATTAATATCTGTGGGAAGAAATTTTTTTTCCTTTTGTATATGAGAGTGAGTGAAAGATAGAAAAGAGAATGGAGTGTCAGAAAGAGGAATGAAGGAAGAGAGGGAATCACAGAAAGTGAATAAATGTGTATTGCTATCCACTCCTAGTAGTTCCATATGTAATGGCTGCTTAAGCTCAGCTCACCATTGATAATTGGTGCTAACAGATTTCAATTAAGAAAATGCAGTCCTCTACAAGAAAATATTTCCATTCCTTTCCAAATGCTACTACTAAAAACCCACAGTTCATTTTAAAAGTGATCATACATTCCCAGTCACTGGAACTTCCTCCAACAGATACACCAATTAGCAAAAGCAGGAATGCAAAAACAATGAAAACTCTTACATCAAAAAAATAACCAGCACTGTGTTTCAACTTGGCCTATATACTTCTCACATATGCAGATTTTTTTCAGTTGTGTTGCTTATTGAATGACGAGGGATGATAGAAACTCAGTTCAACAATATCCAGAGAGTCATGTGTAATCCTTCTGCTATTTATCATTGAAACAATACAGTAATAGTCCAAAGAATGTAAACTATTTAATCAAAACTGAATCTGTGCTGGGTTCCCCACAGGCAACATATGTTTGGTTTGGCCAAATGCATGGACTTCTGTAAAGTAGCAAGTTGTATAGTGCCAAGTTAAACAGATCTCTAAGCCAATGAAAAGGCAAATCTATTTACCGGTAGGAGACTATGAATTGTGAACATATAGGAGGCCACTGGCTTGGATCCTAAATTGCTTCATGCCACTTTATTCCTGGAAATGTTCCTTTATTTTGTAGCCGCTTGCATCTTATCTTAGATTTTCATGGTCATTCAGAATTGAAAATAATTATTCCTTGTTCCTAAAATATTCTCCAAATTTAAATGAGCTTTGAGAGAAATCTCAAAAGCATTTGTATTCAGTTCTGAGAATCTTGCACATTCAATAGGAGTTATGTCCTAACCACAAATGTTATGGCATAATTCTAAAATTGCACACTTGTAAATTGGTGGCAGTTGTGGTATGGGTTCATAGATGAATGCTAGAATTCCTTGTGAAATCCTAAGCTTCCTTACTTTAGAGTATGTGCTGAGATGTTTAACGTGGTAAAATATTGTGAGGTGATTTTTATCACAGAGATGATCCCCACTTCAGCAGTTCTCATCTTTTTCTTTATGAGGACCATTACAGCTATTGTTGATAAATTCTGAGAACTAGCACATAAGACAGATTAGATATGAGGCACCTTGGCACCATGACACATACTCTCTAAACAATCTCCCAAAATCATAAAATACTAAGGTAACAGTCTTACATATTCTAACTGGGAAGTAAGTTTCACTGAACAAAAATCAATGGGCTTTATGTCTGAGCAGACCTATGTCCAGTATATACATACTTTGTATTAGTAGATAAATTATTATATCTTTTCCTCTGGAGGTCCTGGAAGCAGAGTTTTCTCCTTAGTTTTAGACATCAACACCAAAAGGAAACAACTTTGAAGAGGGAAACATAAATTCACACTACACAGCACAGGGAATTCTACACATAACTGCCATTTTCCCATTATTGTTTGCAAGGGTTGCGTGTCTAATTCTCTAGGCACTGTGCTGAAAATGTACCCCTTGGTGTGTCTAGTCTTTTATTCGTACTAATGTGCAAACCACTCAAGTGAAAGAAGCCTTCAATAGGGGGGAGGAGTTAATCGGAGAGCTTTCATGTGGTTCCTATTGTTATGAGAACCCTTCCCACTGCATCGACTTCAGAACAGCTGCCTCAGCTGGAGCTGGGCCATCTAACATTTCACAAGGCATTTCAAGAATTGAAAGGAAGGATGAGAGAAATAGAATGGAGATGGTCTCCCAGCTGTGCATGAGAGGAGAATTTTGCACAAAGCCAAAAATTGCTCGGGTGATTGTACTGATAAGACAAGTTGCTTAAAAATTGTTTCATGATGCAATATTGAACAATAGCTTGAATGCTCCTTATTAAAATAGTACTCTATAATATTCCAATACTTTCTGGAGTAAAGAAGATTGAGGAAGATAGAATGTGTCCAAATATTTGGTGATCTAACACAAATTCTTAGATGATTATGAAATGAATGCTGAAGTTGTTCTGCATTGAGTTAAATGAACAGAACAGAATAATATTGAGCCCTCCCAGCTTGGTGTAGTTTTCAGTACTATCTTCATGCTTTCAGACTTCAAATCCATCCAATGATTCTAGACAGTGAACCTTGGATGTTTGGCATGCAAAGTACATGCAGTGACACCCCTTATACCTACTTCTTATAGCAATCTTTCCCCATTTTCAGTTTTCAGATGTGCCAGATTTAATTTCATTAATACCCATTCCCAATGGCCAAAAATATGTAACCAACTCCAAAAACAATGCTGATAATTTATAAATCCCCGAATGGCTATTGCCATGTATTCCTTTTGGACACTGATTTAACTGAAAGCCTACTGTAGTTCTGCCTTATACATATTTTATCTCTGATTTCTTTTACATCAGCTAAGTAAAGAATACACCTACAAAACAAAATTTTTATTATGTATAATGTTAAGAATAAGCATTATAAGCATTCTTAAACTATCTTTTTATCAATAATCAAAGCCCATTCTGGAGATACTCCTCTCATTCTGAGAATTTCACTGGTAAACTTTGTTAATTTCTTAATATGATGCATGTAGAAGTAAAATTAAGCATATTTAATTCAGCTAAAATATCACCTTATTTGTTTACTGGGAAGAAAGAATGGTCAGAAAAATCTATTCCACTGAGCTGCACCTTCTTAGAAGTAAGTGTCCATTCTAAAAGAAAATGAACAAATAAACATGTGCAATGGGCAGAAAACTAGTTGATGGTCCAGGAATAGAAATACCAAACAAAAATCAAATCTAATCAGTATATTGTCCAGTACACTAATTTCAGCTTCTTTGCTCTTGTTTATTCAATAATCTACTAATAACAGGTTTTTTTTTTTTAAAGGGACTTATCTATTTAGCTATTGGCATCGTGTGCAATCTCTTGGTTCAAAATGTTTTTTCTAAAACTTAATCAAAGACACATTCCCATGGTACATGTGTGTTCCTGTGCAGATTTGGCAATTTTATGTTGATCGTGAATACTGACCTATGCTCAGCAATTAGTACAGACAGGCGTGGCTTTAATAAGCTAGTTATTATCACTATTATGAATAAGTATTTTCAGAGGAAACTAACAAAACTTTAATGTAATAAAACATGTGCATAATTAACTAAAGAACTATTTCCAGATGTTCTTAACTCAGTGACTGACATTATAAACTGTTTTTATATGCAACAGCGGGATCAGCAGCAGCAGTAACAACAAATTGCATTCATAACTGGAAACACTCTTTTCATTGTGACACTTTTTTTCTCTGAAAGATAATAACAAACATGTCCATGGAGCACACAAGACCCTGTCAAGCAGCCCTAAGCCATCTCCTCCAGACAGCTGTTGTACATAAGGAGGCATTGTCTGGAAAGGCTTGTATCAGATTACTCCTAGCTTCGGGGTGGGATGGGAGAACATTCCCTCTCTCAGCTGCCAAGATATTGAGAAAAATTTTGCAAGTTACAGTAAAGCTTAGTATGGTGTAGTGATTAAGACATAATGGATAAGCACAGGTCAGATAATGGAGGAAGGGAAAGGAAGAGGAAGTTGTTTGAAGCCATTCTTAGTCTTGGAAACTCCCTATTGCTGTTGTGGAAAATAATTGAAAGAAAGAAGGCTCTGTATTAGGCTTTGCATTCAAAATAGGCATTTTATTCAGAGTGTGCATGGACCAAAATCTTTGTAAGGTCGGTTGGAATAGCAATGCATCTTTCTTGGTGTAAATTACAAACTGCGGAAGGCTATTATATTAGCCCCCAAAAGGGAACAGTTGCTTTATGGTGTTCCTAACATGTGTTACATTTTTCCCAATAATGTAATATTGGGAATATTAATGAAGTAAAATGAAGTGAAAGCAAAAAACATATGCAAGTAAAGGGAGGAATAATAAAATGTGTACATGTAGTCCTCAACTTATAACAGTTCATTTAGTGACCATTCAAAGTTACAATGTCACTGAAAAAAGTGACTTATGACCATTTTTCACACTTAGGACCATTGCAGCATCCCCATGGCCACATAATCAAAATTTAGACAATTGGAAACTTGATGGTTGCAGTGCCCCAGGATCATGTGACCACCTTTTGTGGCCTTCTGACAAGTAAAATCAATGGGGAAACCAGATTAACTTAACAACTGTGTTACTAATTTAGCAACTGCAGTGATTCACTTAACAACTGTGGCAAGAAAAGTCGTAAAATGGGGCAAAGCTCATTTAATAAATGTCTTGCTTAGCAACATAAATTTTGGACAAAATTGTGGTCATAAGTTGATGACTACTTGTACAATGCTGTGCAAATGTTGTGCAAGATTTGTGTCAATGTCAAAATGCAAGAATGTAAGGGTGTCTTTTGTAATGAGGACAGCACACACTGATAGTCATTTCCGTATCACTTCAATTTGCTATGGATGTTAGCAAAATGCACAGTGCTTTTTGTGGTACTTTTAGCAGTAGAGATATATATTGAGAAATTACAAGTGGAATTGGTTTTCCAACCTTTAGTTTTTGATTTAAAAGATAACTGAATAAAAACAACTTTTCTTGTTAGCATTGGAATTACTTACTTTCTTCTGGAAGATGATTTTCTTGTTCTTCTCTCTCCATTTGTCGGCACCAACCTTCCATACGTTCTCTTTCTGCTTGAAGAAGCTTCAGAAACCAATGTCCATCTCTGTGGCACACAGACCTTTGAACAGCTTCAATTGGATCTTCAATTATAGAATCAATCCAAGGATCCGGTGGAGGTAAAATGGAAGGATCAAAATCAGTGTCAAAGTCATCATCTACTGCACATGCATGATAATGGTTTCCTGAGCCTTGTATGCTAACAGTGGAAGTGCTAATATCTCGGGAATATTGTCTTGACATTGGCCCAGAATATGATTGATCATCTTGAGGGTCCATGGACATTTCAAAGTTCTCATGGAAATCCATGTCTGCTTGAACAGCTGTTGTAACACTATTTGATCGGGTAAATCTGCGGAAACTGAACAACACAAAACAGAAAGTTTAGCAATGCAGACATTCACAGGCAAGTATACTTTACAGACAAACAGATGCAATTGTACAATGGGATAGCTTTAAATTCTACTGGATATTTTATAACATCAGCAATTGAAATAAAAACACATTTGCTTTTTGTAGGCATCATAATGGCTTACGTTTTGCATGGCTTTGAATGGGTCACGATGGGTCGGACACGACTTCGCAATTAACAACAACAACAACATAGTGATATTTCCTTAGGATGTCTTTAAAAATCTGAATTTTGTTTAGTAACTAATGATATTCATTTTGTGTGTGTGTGTGGGTATATGGTAGTGGTAGAAAGCCAAAACTGAGAAACATTTTCTCAGAATACTCCCACCTTACTTCTACTCTGATACCTTGTAGACCAAAATCACAGCTATCTTTCCACAGGTGAATGCTACTATACCAAACACAATTATTAGATTTCTATGCATGACAATGTTTAGAATAGTGTCCCTCTTTCATCATTCAAGGCATAGAAATTGCATAAGACTGCCAGTTCCACCTCTTCTCATTTTCCCTTACATCTGATTTCTATATTTCTGTATCATCATATGGCAGTACCTGCTGCTACTGATTTCTATTTGAATTTCTATAAAATAGCTGGAAGTTTCCATACGGTACAATTGAATTGAATAAGTTATACTCAGACACAGACAGAAACAGCAAGGTTTTCCCCAAATAAGTACCTGTGACTTTATGAACATGTATGTGGATGACAGAAACTTTATTTATCTGTAAAATAATTATAGTAATAAAGGAAGAAACTATTGTGGCAGAAAGGAAGGCAACCCACTTCTCAGAGAGGACAAGTAACTCTTATTAGCCTAGCTTTTTGTTGTCCATGTCTAGAGGGTAACTGCAATGAACAGCAAATGAGAACTCTATAAATGTCACGATCTCAATAGATGGAAAGTCTCAAAAGATTAATAGGCTCTTCATTGCAGACATTAATTCTTTACAAGCAGAAGGGAAGAGAGTGGACTGGTTTAGCATATTGGCTTAATAGCACTAACAGTCCTAAGTATGTGTATCTGAAATGGGATTTCCTACAAAGTAAGCATGTGTAGTTTTCTTTCTTCAGTTGCTGTCCAGCACAAAGTATTCATCATTTTCTGCAAATGGGGGAAAACATAGCAGTCCAATACCAAAATAAGCTTTCCTGCAGCTTCCTTCTCAATTTTCACAGAAGCAGCCCAGAAATGTTCACCTAAGACTAAGAGATTAAGCATTCTTAAAATCTTTGGGATTTATAGCAGAGTATGCTTATATGGGTTTATACTTTTTCAGGACAGTTTTTAAGTTTATCTATATGTCTGTAACTGGTAGGTAGATTTGTGGGGGAGAGAATAGTTTGGATAAATGTGTATGGTGGAATATTAAAAGTGGGATAAAATTAATTTCAATCAAAAGTCAATAATTAATATTGGTTTGACATGTCCATGTCTTTTTTTAGAATGCATAATAGATATAGATATAGATTTTGTGTGACATATGCACACAAAATCTTAAGAATGGTTTCATTGTGAAATAGATGATAGATGCGGGCAGCTGGATAGTAAACAAAATTTGAGTATATATGTTTATAAGCATTATTTTTTTGATAGTGGTTCACTTTAAATTCAGTCATTTTTAGATAGATGTGATAATTTTTTATGTTTCTTTTAGGAAATTTAAAAAGAATAGTGTAATAAAAGATACTGATTCTGTTGGGAATGGCTGATGCACAACTTTCATATGGGACAGTGAGAAATAAATGCTGCATGAAAATATATTAACATTTTCCATCAAACACAAAATACAAATTTTATGAACTTCTCTGCAAAAATATAGTGCTGGAGACAGGCATTGCATTTTAAAACAAGGAATGTATCCCTCAGTTCTGAGGTTAAACTTGTATAACAAAAGACAGGCTGTGTTGAACATGTCATAAGGAGTGACCCAATTTTGTATGCCTTTGTATTTATTTATACAACACTGTGGCTAAGCCTTGCTGAGTGGACTGTTCTTGGCACTGAAGCATGGAGCTACAATGGAGATTCATGTAACACAATCTGATAAAAGAACAGAAAAATTCTTTCACTAATATTAACAAAATGTGAATACTCAAACATATCTATAATGACCTAGATTATTGTTGCTATTTTCATGAACAAAAAAGAAACAATATGATGACATATACAAATCTTCATACAATAAAACTTCATTACTGACTTAGATGTCTCACTGCTGTTAATAAACCAATATAATTTTATTATATATAGCTCCAAACATACCAATGATTAGAAGTGCATATGCATGCACAAACACAGGCAGTAATAACTTTCCAAGCCACTGACAAACTTGGAAAAACCATGGCTGCTTTAATGATTTAAAGAGAAGTGCTTTGTTCATTTTTCTGTGCATTGTGAAGCATCCCATTCAAATGCTTTAAACAATGCTACAGATCAGACAGTGATGATTTTATGTAATTCTGTACTACAGATCTCCATTCTAAATGTAGGAAAATAACTTGAAAAAATTAAGAACTTGGCAAGCTCAGTTTGATTCAGCTTAGCTATATCACTTGTGAAAATCTGGACTAGATATAAAGACCTTGCTGCCAGTGGCATATTGCTTTACCAGCATTGAGTTTTATCAATTGTTCTTAGAGTAAAATCCCAACAATTTCCTCACTTTGTTGTGCTTTGAACATCTGTACCTTTGCATTCATTCATGCCCCACAGGCAGAATATTACCGGTATATGGTAATAATAATTACAGCCTCTGAATACTTTGATAGTTACCTGGCCTAAAGTGCAGAAAATCATGAAACCATGGACTGATTAAATAAGCATAGAACACAAAACAGTCTATTCCAAATAATTCAGGCTCTTTTTTTATATCCCCTCCAGAGTTCTGTTTACATTTTTTAGTCAAAGAAGATTCTTCTTTTGCACAACAGTGCCAAACGATTTACAGGTGGTTTTGACTATTTTTGTTATGTACTTGTTCATCATGTCTTGAAATTTTAATTACAAAAATTCATATCAGTTGGTTCTGACTCATAGCTGAAACAAATACATGTGTAACTGAGCTGAGCTGAAGTTACAGATGGTAAGTAGCAGCAGTACTGATGATGACTTCAGCCTGCTTCATTATTATCATTTAGGACAGACGGCGGTTACTAAATAACTCCCAGACAATGACAGCGAGATGAAGCAGGTAATGAAAAACTTTTTAATTGATGAAACTTCAGTTGCTAAACATTTGAAAGTTACCTGCTTTGTTGTTTATTTTTAAATTGCAGACAAAAGCTGTAGGTAACTTGTGTGCAAGGACGAGATTGCATCTGCAATCTTGATGGGAATTATTGAAAATTGCCCTCCCCATGAGCATACATTATGTTAAAGTTTATCTAAAAGGAAACCCGCTCTCAGCTGCTATTCATGCGTTATATCAATCAACAACCAGGCTAATTACTCATAGGAAATATCTTTCCTACACCAGGTAAACAGTGATATTATTCTAAATTATTCAATGCTCTCATTTCATGGGATGGCTGGTAGCTGTCAGTGACTAATTGGTTGATTTTTCAAGATACGACTGGACCAGATAGTATTTGATGGAAGACCACTGGAAATCCAAGGGTAGAGTTGTACTGAAAACTTCAAAACACATCTCAGCAGGTCAAGGGCATCATCCTATAATTGCAGTTTCATATGTCAATCAGAAACTGAGACTTCAGTCTGACTTGAATTGTGAGCAATATGTATTCACAAATAAATCCTAGATGTCTGGGACTTGCTTCCATGTAAATAATGCAAAAAGCATATTTTGTCAGTAAAAGAAGGAAAACAATCTTGGCATTTCCCTTTTCTTGAAGAATCCCTGCTGTCTCCCATAGTGGCCTAATGGGCCCCTTTATCCCACAAACTAGCACAATTTAAATACCAAACTCGTCCACTCTTGCTAGTATTTTCTCATCAATCAAGACCAGAACATAGCTTGAAATAACAATATTAAATTGTTTAGCATTATATTATTTTCTATCTGCAGCAGCAAAGATATTATGGTGGGAAAGAGGAGGGAACATTAAACAATTTCCATCAAGAAAACAGGTGCAGAAGAAAACTCTTTGCACACATCTTATTTCTTTATTATTCAAATGTATACTTTGCTTGTCAAAAGGTTGCAAAAGTTGATCACATGACACAGGACACTGAACTAGTTACCAGGCATCCAAAATCTGACACACGTGACCACGGGAATGCTGCAACATTCATAAGTTTGAAAATAGTCTAGTCACTTTTTTCAGTGCCACTGAGTGTAACTTCAAATGGTCACTAAACAAACTGTTGTAAGTCGAGGACTGTCTGTCATTATTACAGTGTTAGACTATGCCAGCAAACCTAGCTAACAAAATGCTGCAAGGGCAAAATGAACTTATTAATTAATCAGTGGGTTGTAAATAAATCTTTATTTTTATCATAGGAATAATTAACCTCATGCTCAAGTATCACTGCAGGAAATTCTGCCATCTCCAAAGTAAGGGTTGGATTTATACTATGTGGATGTCTACTGTGTGCTAAAGGTTTATTTTGCTATTGCATGTTATGCTTTAATATAATTTACTTATCTGAAAAAAGGCTCAAATTTAGGAAGATATCTCCTCACGAAGGGAAGATTACCTAGAAAACATTTTTCCAGTCTATGCTGCTAAATTTTCAGATATTTTAAGATTATTATAATTTAATTTCATTTAATTCAATTTCATTTAATTTAATTCATAGATTTTGTTAGGTAAATCAATTAAAAACCACATACTCAAGTTTATTACAGTAATATTACAAGGAATAGCTAAATCAGACAATCAGACAGAGTTAGCATTTGGATATATGCCTTGATAACACCACTGCATAGACATTTGTATTCTCTAACATTGGCCTTAAAATAAGGAAGAGAATTTCAGTTTATTCACATGGAATACAGAAATAGATACTTGATTTCTTAGTATTTCATGAAGATTTTTAACTATCAATAATATAGCTGCAAACTATTGATAACACACTTAGAATATAAAATTAATATTTGCTTACCATTTTTCCTCCTCTACTTGAACACCTATGGATTGGAACTTACTGCACACTCTGGTTTCACTGGAACTAGAGGATTCATCTCCGCCATCAACCTGCAGAACAACCAAATTAAAAAAGAATTAAAGGCAATGTGTAAACTTATTGAGGATGTGTTTTTTAAAAACCGTATTTTGCCACTTTAGCTCTGTTGTTCTGTTTAAAGCTCCTATATAAGACAGCATGAAATTATTATAAATTTTCAGCATATATTTCAATATATTATTTATAAAATGAATCAGTTTGATTCCTGCACTAAATTTATCTTGTCTAAATTTTGTCAAAGAGCGTGTAACTTATGGCACTCAACTTGAACCAGGACCTTAAAAGTAAAGACACTCCATTATCATTAGAGTGTATATAGGGCTCAGTGTAACAGAATGTACATTCAGTGTATTTGTTTAACTAATCCATAAATGTATTTAAAATAAAACTGTGGACAGTGAAGCATTTTTCTTTAAAGATGATAAATAGCATACTATTACTTACTATACCTTTCTGAAAGGGATTTATCAGTGATTTAGATCCTAAAAATAACAACAAATTTTATAGGGGTAGAACATTGTTTTAGCTATTCTTTTCAAGATGCAGCTCTGTAGTTCTCTGTTCTTTACATAGTCACACTTGAAGATCAGAAAGTATTCTGGATGGCAATCATATAGTAGATAGTTGGATTGTAGTATATTATTGATATAAAATGAAAAGTGCTCTATTGTATATATGCCACTATATCCAGGATTAGAAGAATGAGAATTAATGTCATATAACAGTGGAGTGTTGGAGACCAAGTCAGGATCCTATTTGGCCATGAAACTTACTGGATGATTTTAAAACAACTACTACCTCTCAGCTTAACCTCCGTGTAGATTTGCTGTAGGAAATTACTACTTATGCGTCTTTAAACTTTTTGGAGGAAAGACAGCATATACATTCAAAAATAATTTATTCTGGGTTTATTAGTCTGCTTATTCTTTTTTTTATGGGTAAATGTGTAACTAGCTTCATAGTAAGATCAATTTTTCAAATGTCATCTAGTTTGTTTCCTTGGACAAACCTGCTTGTATAACATTATTTTCTCTGGAAAACTTCATTGTAATATAAAATCTAAATTCCAAGTAAGAAACAGGAGCAAATGTATATATTAACAATGCAAAGTATCAAAGAGTTACAATGCATTTTTCTATTGTACTTTCTAAGAACTTGTAACCTTTAGTGTAATCTCCCTTCCTACTTTTGTGTACATTTTGAGATTATAAATATATCTGCTTGTTTTCGTCCTCTCTTTCCTTTCCACACAAATAAACTATAACCTTAAGTGGCTTGATTGTTGTTTGAACAACATTCATAATTCTAAATTTCTGTACATTCCAGTTTAACAGCATATTTATCACAATGAAAAGAAAAGAGGTTACTTGAATTGTTAACAGCCTGCCCAGCTATGATTAGTAATTTATTTAAAAAGCAAGGTTCTGAAGATAAATAATAAGATAACAAAGAATGGTCTGTCTTAATTCTAAGTAAGGCAAATAATACTAACTGTAATAAAGAAACTATATCTCATTTATATTCTTTCTGGGCCTGGACTTTAGTTAAGTTTTATTTGTTGAATTTCTTGCTCTGCCAGTGTAATAAAAATCTAATCTATTTGTATAGGGCGTGACAACTGAGATAATTTGACAGGTGTTTTTAGGGAGCCAGATTAGAATCCAGGGAGCTGGATGAAAACCTCTGTTCAGTCACTAAACTCACTTGGGCATAATCAGAAAGCTGTGGCAAGAATCAAATTGGAGGGGAAAAAACCTCATATGTGCCATCCTTGGCTGCTTAGACAAAGAAATGCAACAATAAAAAACAACAAGATGAACTGCTATTGCTTGCTAGGCTGCCTGTTTCACCTTATTCAGAAACTTTCCAAAAGCCCCTGCAACAGTTCTGCCTGCTCTGTAGATTCTTGAACCGTTTGCAACAGCAATTAAAAAAAAAGTTTATGCTGAGGATTGTCCCATTTGATCTTGTGTATTGCTCTGAATCTGTATTTCAAGTGGAAAGAGCACTTCAAAATGCAGAGACAGGATTACTCAGGTAAATACTTCATCCCATGGTGTAGCTGGACATCTTAGGGTGAAAGTTAGTTTCTCATCTGTTTGAATAAATTCAAAGTATAATTTATTTAAACAGGGTGAATCAGACAGATCATCCTTTGGCCTTCCCTGCTGATTTAACAGCTAAATAGAACAAAGCTGCTGCACTCAAGTGGGTAACATGTGTTGCATGAATAAGCAGTGACAATTCAGCTAAACTGACAGAAAACATGTCTCTGGTGATGGTGCAGTGTAACTTACTGATTTACACATTCCCTTTCAATGATTTCATTCATGATTTCCTCACTCCTGCAGGGTTATGAATCACAGGTTTAGGTTTCTGTGTGCTCATTCAAATAAGAATATATTAAACAGCCAGAAGCTTCAATTAATCCTTTCATCTAACGTAAAAAACATGAAGAGCTTAAAGTGATTCTGATTGCCATATGAGTTACCTAAACCAAAGTAAAACAGGGGAGCAACCAAAACCAAGAGTTTAATGATTGGATGTTTGAGTGGCTGAACTCCCAATAGCAGTTAAGACACTGAACTGTAATATAGTCCCTTATTTTGTTTGTACCTGTATTCCAATGGACAGACATCTGTTTTTCTTGAAATGATTTCTTTTTCTGTCATCTGCAGTTACTGTTGCAATGGTGGCAGTGGTCATGACAGTAGCTGTGTTGTTGCCCATATGCTGACTAGCAGGACCATGGATCTGTGCATTAGCTGCTTCAATAGCAGCAGTGAGTGCTTTCATACTGTCCAAGCTTTCAGTAGAATTGCTAAGTCCTGACTGACTGATATCTCCCCTTGGTCCATGTCCATCCATGTAGGCATCCTGGGCAGATTCTGTGCTGCTCTGGGCTGTGATGGAGATAAAAGGTTTGGTGGTGGTTCTTGGTGGGACAGGAGGTGGTGTCTTCTTATAGGTGGTAATGCAAGAGGAAACTAAAATGCAAACACATATGAACATTTGTAATTAGTATTCTTTTTTCATAAATACATAATAACAATCTGTTTATATTGAAATGGAAAACTTTCTACCATAAAGTCAATAAAAATTTGTGACCAAGCTCAGAAACACAGGAAGATGTCTCCTAAAATATATTTTTTAAATTGCAATATTTATATTTAATATACCGAGAATTGTTGGTTTAGTATATATTTGTATATAAAATGTTTCTAATAATTGAAGAAAAAAGATACCAACTTTAAAAATCTTTTGAATGTGTATCATTTAACATGACTAAGTAGTTTGATAACTCTTGCCACAGAATCTGCTTTGAAAGTTTCAGGTGCATTTCTTACACCAATGTATTTTCTACCAACTTATCAACTATTTTTGAATGAATCACAAAAGATATTTATTTGAATGTAATTACACAGAAGCTATTTCATATTAGAAAATATCGATAACATTTAAAACATTTTCAGACAGAAGGCAAACTGTTATGAAAGACAAAAATTACCATTACACAATTATAACATATTGATAAACTATAAGTTATACAACAATGCTGAATGAATGGTACTTATCCTTGTCCTTGGAGTTTCAGCCATCACAGCATCCCTGCAGTCACATGATCATGATCTGGGCACTCAGTGCTTGACTTGTAATTAAAACAAATGCCACAGAAAATCAAGGTCATGATTCCCAATGTTCCCTACTGGCTTCCCATAAGTCACTGAGGAAATCAGCAGGAAGTTGGAAGTTGCAATCATGTGGGGTGCTTGCTTAATAACAATTAGGAGTGCCAGAACTGCCACCGCTGAGTGGCACACTCATGTGACATTGTGCTTTGTGCTTTATGATTGTTGCTCAGTGATGGCAATTGCAGTTCAAATTGCCATTGTAAAGTGAAGACTACATATATCTAATATATTATATGTTCGTATAACAAATTATAACATAGTAACATAATTTCATGTTATGGATGAAATAAGTTATATATCAAAAATGAGAATGCAAATTGAAATAAATTAGGCAGGTATTACAAATACGAATTTGTTTTAATTTTCAGACATGTATTTATTTATTTGTGACTGAAAGTACAAACTCACAAGTTGATAAAAACTTATTTTTGTTTTCTAGTGAAAACAAAATATTCTTCTTTAGAATATGGTCCTTTCATTTCCAGTTTCATGTTTGCCCAAATTCAAATGCTAAAAGAATATATTGAACTTTTTATAAATAGTATATGATCTGCTATCAGTCTTCCCATTATCTTTTTGCAGAACAAAGCAATAATTCACTTTCTCATATGAAATATTCTATACACACATCCACATCCACCCACAAATATTAAAAAGTGATTATTGTAAATACTTCTGAGCGTGTCAGAAATGCTTCCGTTAAAACAACATTCAATGAATGTTATGAATTAAGACAAGAAGAGCAGGAAGAGAAAGTACAAAAACAAGACTTCTGAAACAAGATAATGCAATCTTTTAGTTCCTGAAGTTACATATAAAGTTCAGAAGCAGACAGAAAGCAAATCATAATGTGGGTGGAGTGTGGGGGCAGAAAGGTAGGTAGAAAACCTCAGGCTTTTATACTGGAAATGATGCAAGTTATTTGTCATTCCTGTGCTGGAACTACAAAATAAGCCACAAGTTTCAGTGGAAGCTTCTAAAGGTCAGCACTGACCAGAGAACTTCAGGTGCATAAGTTAGAAGGAGCAATTGGACAACATGCCTTAGATTTTTTTTAAAACACTCCAAGATCCTAGCAACTTGAATCATGGCAACAACGGCAAAAAATTTTTTAAAAGAGTTTTTTTTTTTAAAGAGATGCAATAACTTTTTTTGTTGTTCTGGAGCCAAGTGAAATTGGCAGGAAAAGGCAACTGCAAGGCAATGTGTGAAATCTTCACAGAAAAGGAACCACTCCTTTTTTGGCTAGGGTAAATAATGGTCAAAACAAATGTCAGCCAGATCAACTAAACTGAGAGAGGTGGTTAATAAACTGGCTGCTTTAAGGAAACTTGTACATTCTGAGGATAGAGTTACTTTCCCTTCCTCCTTGTCTTGCTTGCCCAAATGCAAAAATGGGAAAAGCAAGAGTTCATATGTCATTTTTCTTTAACTTGGTGTGTTCCACTATGTTGTGCATAACATCAATCTTAATTTTCCAATAATTCTTAAAACAACCAAATGGGGATTTTTTTTTTTTTAATTTTAGTTATGTTGCTCGAAGAGCAAATTTTTAGACCAAGAGAAAAAGGAAGGAAGTTAATTTAGCAGGTAGTGCATTTAGATAACTTAGTCATGGGGCAGGAATTTGAAACAAGGAGTGCCAGCCATTAATTACAAAAGAAAATAAAGTTAAAAGTACAAACATACACACATACTCTACAGCTGTTAAGGACTGTGAAGCACAGCCTTGCCCAATCCATGAATCACAAATCTAGGAGATATGGTGGGCACCAGATTGAGAAGTTTAATTATATTCTGAAGATGACGGGATGCTAAACAAATTAAAATGATGGAGGTGATCAAGAGATTTATTCACAGGGCAACCGGAGAAAAATAAAGGCAATATTCCTATTATTCCCTCAAAAACTCAGTTTTGCCTGGCTTCAGGAAATGAAACTTTATGCCACCTTGAATGACATAATAAAAAGTTTGGTTAACACAGGTATATAATAGAATAATATACAAAACAGCTTTGTTAACTCAAGAGTTCTGGCTGAACAGAAGGCTGGTGTTTAAGCTGACTGGGAAAGAAAGTAATGCGTATTTAAAAAGGTGGAAGTCTGTATTCACACATTTGAGAAACTATGAAAGATTGACTGTATTGGTGAACTGACTACTGATAGGAAATACTGAAATATTGCAAACTTTTATTTAGCAATGACCAAAGTAGTAAATAAAGATTTCCTACAGAAAGCATGTGGAAGTCACATACAAGGAATAAGAGAAGAGAAAAAGAGGCAAATTTGAAAAAAAAAAATCACTTATTTTGTATTTCAGCTGAGAGTTACTAACATGGAAAGACTTAGTGGCTGGCAGTTCAAAGGCTTTGAATTTTAGGCCTCAGGTGTTTACAAATTACTTTATAGTTGGTAGAAAAAGAGCAGTTTATTGCTGTCTTGATTTATTTGTTTATTTTAGCAGCTGTGTAACTGGAGATGTTTATCAATTTTCAGCAAGAAAGAAGTGAAGATTGTTGAAAATAAACAATAACTAACAAGACAGTTTTTTAAATTAAATAATTTTATTATATTTGAACATGTATTCTCCCATTATAGAGAACCAGTCTATTAGTGGTTAAGGCATCAGACTAGAAACTGGGAGACTGTGAGTTCTAGTCTTGCCTTAGGTATAAAGTCAACTAGGTGACCTTGGTCCAGTCACTCTTTCTCATTTGAGGAAGAGGGAATTGCAAACTACTTTCAAATTCTTGTCAAGACAGTCTCAGTGATTTTTGCAGGCTGTCACCAAGAGTGAACAAAACTGATTTAAAGGCAAAGACGCTTTCTCACAACTGTTTGTCTTTCCTTATACCTATATGCAGATATTGTGGTGGAATGTAGTATGGAGTCCCAGTAGGGAGAGGTTGTCTCCCAGATGGCAAAGAGGCAGCAGAGCTTCAAATCTCTAATAAGCAGGAAGAGGGCAAAGACGGTTCTGCTCTAGCAGTTCACAGAGTATATCTATAGTTATGCAGATAATTGGTTTGGTTTAGCAAGATTTCTGTTTGTAGGCAAACAACATTACGGTAACTACTCAGAAGTTACATGTTGTTCTTCCTTCTTAGGTGTGACAATATACACAGCAGTTCAGAATGACATGCTGTGTCTTACAGCATATCATGTATAAATGGGCTCTGATTTAGAAAAAAACTATTTGTTGTCTTTGTGACACAAGAAGAGCTTTGGTATTTAGATACATCAGATTATCAATAGATCATTTTAGAATTTGAAGAAAAAACCAAGATATAAAGTTCAAGTTGTGTTAATATTTTGTAAGGAAAAAAAGTTTAGAGTATGTACTTTGTAAGTACATTAATCTGCTACTTCTATTAATGGTTGTAGTCCCTTTTTGGTTCTTTCCCTAAATACATTAAACACAAATTCAAGGTTCTTAATGCCCAGAAATAATTTTCACACTGTTGTCCAGGATAGTAGATTCCTGGCTAAATCTGAATACCAACTACACAAAAAGGATCCCTATTGATTGACAATTCATTTGTGATCACCCCAGTACCTAGATAAAAGCTATTCTAATAAATCAGTGCTTCCAATAATCTATTGTACAATATCTTAGTTAATGCCAACTAAGTAACACTCTCTATATTGCTTCAGCAAGTAAAGGATTTGGTCAAAGAACTAGGGATCCTAGGTTACATGAAGGTTGCCAAGCCAACGTTGCCATTAACAAAAAATGTGCTAAGTGAAGAGCTTTCCATTTGCCTTTTCTCTTAGGCCTATCTGTAGACATGACAAAGGAGCTTGACACATGTAAAGAAGTGTGAAGAGCTCGCCGAAGATAGACTCACTATATGTTAGATTTCCAAAGTGTTAATACCAATGGATGCTATAGGTAAGAGATCCTCTCCTGTAATGAAGTAGGGAGCAGACAAGTAGTTGCGAATGTTAGAAGACAATCTCTTGACACACCAGAGTAGTAGAGAATTTGATTAAATCCATTCACACCTGCTGTTTTAAGCTCTTAGGGACACATCTTTAAAACAAATACAGTCTTCTGTGATGCTTCAGTCTTTCAAAGCAGAACATCAAACTGCAATGTCCAGCTCAAGAAATAACCTATCTTCCTAGAATGAGTTTATGTTCTTTTACTCTTTCTTTCCCTACCAAGCAAATCTGAAATGCCAGCCTTAGCTGAGCTTCATAGTCCTTTTAGACCAGTGGTTCTCAACCTTTTTAATGCTGCGACCCCCAATCGGTCGTAAGTCGAGGACTACTCAACTGGTCATAAGTCGAGGA